TCCATGGGATCAGGCCTAAACCAGCAGTCAGACATCCCCCCAAGGGGTCCCAGATTGAAGATGGTGCAGGCTGACCTGAGGAGACCCCTTCCCCCGCCCATGCACAAATTTTGTGCACTGGGCATCTAGTCAATAAATAAACAAACAATAAGTGTTGGAAAGATTGTGGAGAAAAGGGAATCCTTGTGTACAGCTGGTGGGAATGTAGACTGGTGCAATCGCTCTCAAAAAATGTATAAGTTTTCTAAAAAAAATAGTATGGAGTTCTCTCAAAAAATTAAAAATGGAGCCGCCTTTTGACCCAGCAATCCCACTTCTGGGTATATACATCCTAAGAATATCAAAACACCTATTAGAAAGAATATATACACTCCTATACTCCTGGCAGTGATATTTACAATAGCCAAGATTTGGAAATAGCCCAAGTGCCCATCAGTAAATGAATGGATAAAAGAGTAGTGTTACAATTACACAATGGAGTATTATACCCCTATAAAGAAAGAAGAAACTCTTACCCCTATGACATCATGGATGGACCTGGTGATTAATATGCTAAGTTAAATAGGCCAGTAAAGGAAAGACAAATACCATATGATCTCAGTCATATGTAGAATCAATGAATAAAATTCACAGATGAGCAAAATAGAACGAGAGACATGGATACATGGGAGAGTCTGACAGAGGTCAGAGGGGATGGGGTGAGGAGGTCTGGATAAAAGAAGGTGGAGAGAGTAGCCAAAGAACATATATACATAGCCCAGGACACAGACAACAGAGTGGTGAAGGTCAGGGGAAGGGTGGCGGGGCCTGGGTGGAAGTGGGCAAAGAGGTAGAAAATGGAGGTCATTTGTAATATGTCAACAACTAAAAAAAAGAAAAAAAAAGTGAAAGCCAAACTAAAGAGTGAAATAAAATATTTGTAATACTTATATCTGGAAAAAAGACTGGTATTCCGATTACATAAATACTTTTGTTCTCTAATATGTAAGAGAATGTAATAAAAAAGGAGGAAAAAAGTTTGAACTGACAATTCATAAAAGAAGATATTAAATGGTCAACAAACACATGAAATGTGGTCAGCATAATTACTCATTATGGAAACACAAAACTGCAATGCGATAACTCCTTAGGATGGCTTACATTAAAAAGACTGACAATATCAAATGTCAGGGAGGATGTAGACCCACTAAAAATCTCATACACTTACTGGTAACCACTTTAAAAGGTGTTTTACAATTTCTTAAATAGTTAAATATGCACCTGCCATACAACTCAGATATATCACTTCCAGGTATCTACCCATGAAAAAGAAAAATATATGTTCATCAGAGATTTGAGAGAAGATATTCATAGCAGCTTTCCCCCATGATTGTTTAAACTGGACATTCCCTAAATAGGTAAACACATAAATAAAATATGATATACAATGACATACTACTCAACAATAAAAGTAGATAACTGCTTATACATGCAGCAACCTGGTTGAATATAAAAATTATTATGCCAAGTGAAAGAAGCTATCAATAAAATAATACATGAGTGTATTATTCCATATAAAATACTAATGAATTTATTGTAACAAAAGGCATAGCAGTGGTTGCCTGGGGACTGGCAGAGGGAGACAGAAATAGCAAAGAGCACTAGGCATTCTTTGCCATGATGAAAGTGTTTTGTGTCTTAACTGTTGGAATTTTTTCAAGGTTTCGATGGTTTCAACTAGGCAAAATTCATCAAATGTATACCTTAAATGGGTGCATTTGATTGTGCATAAGTTATTTCTCAATGAGATTAACATCCTATATAATAATCCTATATAATGAAAGGGTAATATGCAAATCGACCCAACAGAGGAATGACTGGTTTCTATGACACACACTTACCACCAGAGAGCAGATGCTCAACCAGAAACAGGGCTCACGGCTGGTGAATGTAGCAGCATTGGCTGGAGCCTCTCCCACCTCTGCAGCACCACTAAGGATGTCTGACTGACGGCGGAGGCCTGCTCCTGCTCCTGGACTGCAAGAGGGTGCAGGCCAGGCTGAGGGACCCACACCCCCAGTGCACACACTTCATACACTGGGCCTCTATAAAAAAAATAAAAACATATTTTAAGCCAGACAGAAGAACTCACATGATACCATCTTCTATGTGACCTTTCTGTTGGGGTTCATGGAGCCCATTTATATGGAGTATGTGTTCACATTAGACATGACATTCCTGAACGAGTGTAACCCCATATTCTAATTTGCTTTCAACTAGTGAGACTCTGGGATTTTACCTGAAGTATTCTGAAGTCAGATAGCAGGAGAATAATTTTTCCCTTCCCACAGTTTTTTACATTTTTGTCCTTGTGTATCTAGTGATTAGTAGTAAATTCCCAGGCTGCAGCTGAAGCATGAGGCATTGTTATGAGGACAGAAAGGAACTGAACTGGACCTTGTACAGGAGCATCTAAGTGCTTGGAGGGTGTGTGTGGATCATCGAGGCTAGTGAAGAAGAAGGTTCAAGCCCTGGAGGCCCAAGGGAATGAAACCCCTTCAGGGCCAGCCTCAGACAGAGATGTGGCTCTCACCAGCAGGGGCCATGCAGTGGGGGGGATATAAATAAGTGCATCCCAAATTGCACCCACCTTCTTCCCAAACCTCTTGTTTTTATTCTCTAACACACTTGTCCAATTCCCATCTAACTAGTGTCTCAGGCCCCAAACAGAGTCATGTTTGACTCTTCTCTCTCCTCTGTCCTTACAATCAGATATTGAATCATCATGATTTTCAATCTAATTGACTTACACTCGTTGATCTTTTTTCAAATGTATCAATATGCTGGCAGGGAAGCGGTTAGGTGTCAATCAGGCCAGCAGGGGAGCGTTAAGGGGGAGATCAGGCTGGCAGTCAGAGTTGTTAGGGGCAATCAGGCAGCTAGGCAGCTGAGTGGTTAGGAACCAGCAGTCCCGGATTGTGAGAGGGATATATCCTGAGGGGTCTCAGATTGGAGAAGGTGCAGGATGGGTTGAGGGACACCCCCACCACCACCACCAGTGCATGAATTGGGTTGCACTGGACCTCTAGTTCAACCATAAAAAGAAGGAAATCTTGCCATTTAACACAACATGGATGAACCTGGAAGGCATTATGCTAAGTGAGGTAAGTCAGTCAGAGGACAGGTATGATCTCACTTGTATGTGAAAACTAAAACAAACAAATAGAAACAAAAACAAAGGCATTCACAGAGAACAGATTGGTAGTTTCTAGGGGTGGGGGCTGTGGGGGTCAAATGGGTAAAGGAGATCAAAGGATACTAACTTACAGTAATAAAAAGAATGAATCCTGATTATGTAATGTACAGCATGGTGACTCTAGTTGACAATAGTGTATTACTGTATATATTTCAAAGTTGCTAAGAGAATAAAACCCTAAAAGTTCTCATTGAAAGAAAAATGTTGTAACTATTGTGGCGATGGATATTAAGTAGACTTATTGTGGTGATCATTTTTTATATGCATATATCAAATTGATATGTTGAACAAGAGAAACTAACATAATATTATATGCCAATTATATCCCAATAAAAAATTAAACAATTTTTTTGTTTGCCTGTACATCTGTGCCTTCTAAAAAAACACACATTTAAAAAAATCAGAAAGACTTATCTGTTGTGGCAGGATAATAAGAAGCTAAGAACATTCCTGGACAAGTGGGATAGGGAAACCAAAACAAGAAAATTAAACAAGGACAAACAATTTGAACAAATTACAACTAGGTTGTGAATGGCAAGAGCTTGTCTTCCCCATATAGTTGAAAGAAAATGGTTCATACCTCTCCTCCCTAACCAGAGAATACATAGCTTAAATCACCCTGATCTGAGAAATAGAGAACAGAGACCCAATCAATGCCATTTGTGCCAGTTAAACCCGAGAACAAATGAAGTTAGGGGAACAAAGGACAAAAACCTCATAAAAGCCAGACAGACACAAGATAAAAGTAATGATCAAAGAATGATCCCCAACTCAGTACATTATAAATGCACCTAGAAACTGATGAATATTCTGCTGAAACCCTCCCCTAATATTCTTGCCCTTGGATAAAAACGAGCAAAAATGTAGTGAGATCCTCAAGAAATCTAATGAGACCCTAGAGAGAGAGAGAGAGAGAGAGAGAAAATATCCAGGAGAAAGACTCATTGTGAGTTCTCTCTAGAGCAGTGGTTCTCAAACTTCTGGCCCTTTAAATACAGTTCCTTATGTTGTGACCCAACCATAAAATTATTTTCATTGCTACTTCATAACTGTAATGTTGCTACTGTTATGAATAGTAATGTAAATTTCTGATATACAGGATGGTCTTAGGCGACCCCTGTGAAAGGGTCATTCAACCACCAAAGGGGTCGAGACCCACAGGTTGAGAACCGCTGCTCTAGAGCATGCCCTTGCCCCTTCCCCCTAAACCCTAAGGGTCCCCACGAGACTTGAAACCAGGAGAGAATAGGGCAGCAGCAGCTCATCCTGACTTCCCAGTGAGCTAAGAGCAGTCCACCTTGGTTCACTTCTTTCCTATGTTTCTAGGGAGGGAAAGGAGAGCACCGCCTCCCTAGACTCTCTCCTGTTGCTTCTTCTACCCTAAGTTCTTCCTGTGTTTCACAGTCCCTGGCTTTAATAAGCATACTCTGAAAATCACCTGGACTCGTGTTGTGAAATCTTTTCTATACAAAGTCAAGAACCCACACAATACTGGCTGGCTTGAGGCAGACCTGCTTCAGGCCATCCATGCCCATCCCTGTCCAGTAACATTATTATTCCCTTTGTATTTGGAGATGCTCTTTAGATATGTTGGATAAGGATGTAGAATGGCTTATTGAATTAGAAACTCATCCAAATTTCCTGGCTCTAGCCTTTTTGGGGTATCCATCCACTACTGATGGGGAAAATGGTGATGGAGTCACATTTAATGTCTTGGAATCACATTTCTCATTTCTCCCCCTAAATAAGTTCCTGTAGGATACTTATTGAACATTGGGCATTAGTTTGCCCTATTATTGACTTATTTTTATGAAGGCTGTTGAATCTGTTATCTCTCTTCCTATTGTGGTCCATTGTGGACATTGCATCTTGAAACTCACACTTAAATCATTTATTTACAAAATTTTGAAAACTTTTCATTGGTTTAGGATATTATCACATTACTTGGCCATGGCCCTCAAGGCCTCTCATGGTTTGGCCATAACCCAGTTCGTACACAACCACTCTTTTTCCTCTTCCTACTTTATAGTTCAGTTTATTCTCTTAGAATCTACACTCTGCCATCCTTCCTCAACTTCACAGTTGTCTTGATCCTGTAAATTGAGGGAATACAGAATACATGTGGCACTTTGGAAAGTGCATTGTTTTGAGCTGAAGGAAATTAAGACCCAGCCAACTCAGGAAAAGCTTTTAACCTCTCTTTTAACTGCTAGAAGAATTACAGAAGGGACCTATACCAGGAAGAGAGCTACCGCTAGAGATACATTTATATGTCAAAAAGACTTATCTGCGTGGCACAGTAAACTTTTTTTAACCAAACATTTGCTCTTATCATTCTGTGAATTGTCCTTCTCCCTCTTGAAGCTCCAGGCCTCAATTGCCTGACTGCCTTTGAGTTTTCATGTGTTTTGAGGACTTCTGTATATACATAATTATATTTGGTTTTCTCCTGTTAATCTGTTTTCTGTCAATTTGATTATTAGACGAGTCAACAAAACTGGAAGGAAAGAAGGGGGTGTAATATGTCTCCAGCAGTAAAGGGTCTGGAACATGTTGGACTCTGTTTAACCCTCTGTCCCTGCTTAACTCTGTAGCCTCAGGTTTGCTGACGACCCAGAAAGCTGGAATGCCACCCAAAGAGAAAGATCATGTCTCCAGGAAGGAGGTTAATGAAGGTACAGAGTGTGGGTGTTATCTGTTAACTTGGAAATGCATTGTTCTTTCTGGTGACCTATGTGATACCCACCATATGCTTTCACTGTTAACCCCTATGGAGAAGAGACCCTGCCCTTGGAGGGTGTGGATTTATTCCCTGCCAGCCACCACTGGGAGCAAGCAGCTGCTTTGCCTGTGTATGTAAGTTTCTCCTATTAAAGCTCTAATGAATTTGAATAAGGCTACAGGTCAGTTCTTCAGAATCAAACCTGAATTTAGACTTTGGGAATTTCCCCAACACTTGGCTTACTGCACAGAAGCTCCCTGACCCATATGACTTATAGATAAGACTCACCCATGTCCTCTTTCACTTATAATGAGACCAGACCCAAACCATTTAATCATGATTTTTTTGTCTCAATAAAGATGAACTGAACTCTTTGTCTCCACTAATCAATCACAATAAACTGCTTGCAAGTAAACCTTAATTCAGCTTCTCTCCTTTCTTCTGTTCCCTGAACTTTGACCACCCTCCTGCTGATCCAGTCAACAAACCTTCCTTATAGAGCCTGCCTTATAGAGTCAGCAAACCTCTGGGTCAAATGTTCCCTTTTACCCCACTCCCTTCTCACCTGTTCTTCCCTGTGAAGACAATTCCTTTTTTCATGGCCTGTGAGATGCTTGCAGCTCTATGGCTGGGGTGTTTTCCACATCGCAATAGTCTCTTTCCCCTTACTGCAATAATCCTGTCAAATGAAGTCTCTTTTGACTTGTCTAGATTAATTTTTATTTGATAATACAGATTGCCAAATTGTTTCATTGCATGTTGAATAGTTTACTCCCTTTTACCCAGATTTCGAGCTGTTTTCGGTGTGTGTTTTTTGGAGCAATGACTGTGCCAGATTCATGTAATGTTCCTAGCACATCTTAATCTGCTGTTTCTCTCACTGTTCCCTATGGCTATTTCCATAAATTTTTGTTTCTATTTTAGTCCTTGAGTCTGTCTTTGTCCCCCCATTTTCCTCCTTCTTCACTTACCTGTCTCCTTGAGGTCAGCTCCTGTCTTCAGGTCATTCCAGAGAGCCCTGCATGGAGAGGAGGTTCCTTCCCAGAGCCTGGTAAGCTGCTGGCTCTGACCTCCAGCTGAAACTTAGGCTCTGCTGCGGTTGAATTGCCTGAATTTATACTCCAAGAAGGATGAAAAAAAGTGGTTTCACTTTTGGTTTTGCTGGTTTTTATTTTCTTTCTAAAAAATCAAGCTGACTAAAAGGAAGTCTGTTTATTTTCTTGTGATTTTTTGATTTAAAATTACTGTAATTAGAAGACTAATTAATTGTGTGTGTGTGTGTGTGTGTGAGCCAATGAGGGTTTGGCAGAACACAAGATTAAAAACACACATCGCAAACAGGATAGAGAGAGAATTTGGGAGGAGACATGGGTACATTTTGCAGATCAGTGATTTCCTCAGCTTTGGTGTTCTAATTCTCATGTAACTTAAGGACAAAGAGAGAACATGCTCCCAGTGCGAATGAAATCTGTCAGTTTTTATGTCAGTAAAGGACTTTTATGCTAGAACTAGTAGCCCGGTGCATGAAATTTGTGCACATTAAAAGGGAATTAATTCCTCTAACCATTTTAATATTGCTATTTGCCCTTTCTCTATAATAGAAGTGACAGGGATGAAAGAAAACTAGTACAATGTATACGAAAATCTCCCTCCTGTCAGAGTCTGGGGCACACCTTGGGGCCCAGAGTCAAGTTCCCGCCAACCGTGTGCACCTCAAAATCGTGTGAGCCCCAGACCCGGCCGGCACCACCCCCGTCAAGCCCCGCCTGGCAGGAGGCACAGCCT